GCATTCTGTGTTTGCATCATTCATAACATCATTTAAAATAGCAAATAATGCTAGCGCTGTTGTTTTGAGTTCTATTGATTTGCAGAAAAGTAGTTCTACTACTGACATATTATCACAAAATCAAACATAGGCAATGAAATGAGCATCTTTATTAATATCTCTTGCTTCAAAGTTTATTGAAAACATTTTGTCACGCAACATCGAGAAAAGCTGACACTACATTTTCAGCTGTATCACCAATTCGACGAGCAACAGTATCATTTGAAAGAGATCTGGACTGTAATTGCTTTGAAAAATTAACTCCAAACATAGTTTCTACAATCTCAATTGCTGCTGATTTTTACTTTACTTTTGTTTTGGTAGTTAGTTAAAAATAATTTAAAGAAAGAATTCGAAATACTCAATATACATTATTGTTGTATACATTTTACTGCAAGTGGGGGGCGCGATGAAAATTATGATTGAAAACTGGGCCGCGAATACTGAAAGGTTGAGAAACGCTGACATAGATAATCACATGACAAGTGAAATAAAATTACATATCGTCCTCAATTGTTACTTTCATACAATTTCTACCCATCCTATTATAATATTAGATATTTAAAATAATAAAATTTCATACTTAAAAAGAAACATTTAGCAACTGATAATCATAAGAAATAAATAAAATTACCAAACGTCTCCCTTTTTACTAACACGCTAGTTTTAGCTATCCTAATTTATTGTTAAATATAACAAATTAAGGACTATAAAAATGTTAGGATTCTAAAAGTTTTTATGTAGAGTGAGCAAAGAAAAAAATATCACCTTTAATAACTTTCCATCTACTGATCAGATCTTCTAGTTCTTGGACTCAATTTTAATAACTCAAGGAGGTGGCTTCAAATATGCTATTTAATTACGCAGACGATATTTTTTATTGTAAGTTACGATTTAAGATGAAGTAATGAACGATTTAGATGGATTAAGTAACGAAGTAAGACACAAAAACGTACTATCTGTGCATAAACATACCTTTTTTTCAACAGATTCGGATTTCTGACCCCCAAAATATGGGAAATAAGGACCCAAAAGTTTGGTCCGAAGTGAGCTCCAAAGTTTGTACCCCTTATATGTTATTTTGCCATATCTCAAGAGAAAAATTAAAAGCGATTTAAAAACTTTTTACACAAAATTATAATTATCAACTATGCAAAAAATAACATTTAATAAATATTTATTATTTCTTTATTATTTTATTTAATATTAGAAGACGAAAAAAATTAATTGTAAGTATTAAAGTTTCTTACAACATTTTAAAGAATTTAATTTTATGTGGCAAGGAAAATTGAATGAAATATGTCAAATAGTTACTGAGAAATCAAAATTTTAAAATACGGCAATTTTTAAAATACGGACTTCTCAGGCACTATTCGACCGATTTCACTCAAACTTTGTATTCCTTAAATTCAAAAAGTTTTCAACCATCACTAAATAAAATAATAAAAAATAACATATATTTACTTAAATTTAATTTTCGCATGGAATTATCTTTGAATAAATATAACAAATTTAAGTTTAGAAATTTTATAAACTCCGAATCACCTGTTATTCGCGAAATTAAGTTATCTAATATTTAAAAAAAACCGCTCTACAACAGCTAATCATAATACGAGTTTTAAAAAAAAGTACACATTGCCATTTCTTAATTCCACACTAGGTTTGTCCCACTCTATTTTATTATCAAATATTTAAAAAAAATAATATTCATAAGATGTTACTTATGCTTGAAGAAAATAAATAAAATAAAAAACAATTTTGATTTAACTTTTTTTAAATTCAAAACTTTTTACCTTCTATTCTAAAAATATTTAGATTATTCAAGTTTTTCTTACCTTCAATTGTTAGTTCAAAATCAATTTTATCTTCTCCCATGGTATTACTGACAAAGCAAGAATATTTTCCTCCATGGGAATACTTGATACTTTCAAATATTAGAATCCCGTTCTCTTGTCGAATAGAGGAGTCCAAACTGAATAAACTTAGTGGAATGTTGGAATATTTCTGCCATCTGTAAGATGGAACGGGAGAGCCCTGAGCTACACATGCAAGAGTAACTCTTTCACCACTCCGAGCTGTAATTTGCGTGGAACTCTTCATTATTTTTGGAGCCTCATTATGGCGTGGCTCTGTAATGGAAACAAAATTTTCCAACATAAACTTTTCAATATTTTTGAAAGAAAATTAAAGCTTTTATACTTAATTGTGTTGTACAAGTTTTACGGGATTATGACTTGTTTAAACAGAGTAAAAAGCAAGCGAATGAATAAAATATCTACTTTGAGAAAAAGAATGGTCGAAACCACCAAAATATAGTAAATTTTACAGTGTTTCAGATTATATTGGAACACTGAGAATATCGGTAATTTTCAGAGAAGCGATTTGGTAATGATTTTGGCAAACTTAAAAACACAGTATGGTCTTGCGATCTAAAATAAAATGAGGTTAAAATTCGTACTTTAAACGTGATACCTTACATCATGGTAAAATAATTTATTTATTCGGTGAAATTTACCTTTCAGTTTGTATTTTTTTTCCTACACGAGTGATAATAAGATCTATAATTTTGAAACTTTAGAATTTCCTTTAAATCATTATTATATGAACGGAATAATTACACAACAGTGGTTTAAATAACATGTAACTTGCTTTTAACACCAGAAATATTTTTGTATTTTTTTTTTTTTTTTTACCAGAAATGACATTACTTTTTAGTACTGAAAGCTAAATTTTTTTTTCACTGAGTAGTAAGAAACAGTACAGAGTTTTAAGAGAAATACAACAAAATATGATTTAAAAAAACATATAATTTTGCCTAAGTAATCTAGATTTCTTATGCATCACTGTTGCATTTTCGTGATTGACACACAATTCAGTATATTGTAAATCCGTGTGAAACAATCCAAATAGAATTTAATAATGTCAATTTATTAAAAATATAAAACTCTTGAACAAAACTAGTATCTGAGATTCGTAATTTTGATAATAGAAAGTATTTAATGACGTAAGAAATGGAAGCATATTATTCTCCAACCATCCACTGCTCATTATCAAACTCATTCTTCAGTCATATTAATTTGCACAGATGCTTTTTTCCAGTCATCACTGATCAGCTTAATGGCCAGGAGGTTCATATTTATAATCTTTCAATTTAAATTTTTAAATATAATTTGCATCAAGTCATTTTTGTTGAACTATCTGGACGTTTTTTTCTACATAACTCTATATATTAAGCTTTCAATGTCAAATTTCGAAGGACCATAAGCAACCACCACAACTATTCTTCAATTCACGAAGATGTTACAAGAAGCCACTTCGGCTTCAGGCATTACGACAGGACTAGGACTAGACATCAAAATTCGTACACCTCCTTAGCATAAATTCTATTATTATACGTCTCCTTATCGATGCAACTTTTTTACTTTTTTTTAAAATTTTATTTGAGTCATTTAACCAAACCTATTGTGATAATGCAAATATCTGCCTTATTTTTTTCTCAACATCAAAATACATCATTTTCCAACCCTGAATGGGGACTAAAATTGTCTACCTCACCCAAGAAAATGCAAAATACATTACACAGTAGATTCAGCTTAAATACTACTACTAACTATAAAAAATTGAATAAAATTATGCGTGGAATGTATTAGATCATTGAAAATGAAATAGTTGTCTATTTACAGACGAATCTCACGAAAGTAAAATTGTAAAAATGAACCACAAATCTTCTTAGAATTAAATGCTTATGTTATGTCTTATTTTGACTTCAAAACGATTCAATCTCATTTATGACTTTAAAACTATTCAAGACATTATTTCAAAACCATTTGTATGTTTTGAGAAATTATTTCTCCTCATAAAAGATCATAATACGTTATGTTTATTTTATTCGAACATAAAGTCAACAAAGGCATATTAATTTTTGTTCTTACGGAGAATTCTATCAGTGCAATGACTGTTTTAACGGGAAAAAAAACATTTTTCCGTATCTGGCATTTATTATTGAATATTTGTATACTATTTTAATTAAATGTGTCTGTTCATTTTTTTACTATGCAATATTTGCGTACCTCATCTTAATATTATAGTGGAAGTTATATAATAAAAATCACTTATTTTTATCATAAATTTTAAGAAAGTACAACCTTGCCAGAATTATTATAAGAGCTCTTCTTAAATTGATATGTTCATTGAACTTTTAAATGCATTTCCTTGCTATGAAATTGCTTACCAGTAACAATAATTCTTGCAAAATTTATGCTGCTGTGTTTTTCTTTTGTTACAGAGTTTTCCATGTGGCATCGAAAGCTGTGTCTGCTGTCCTGCAAACCTGCATCCTTGATGTATAAATCGCCATCATAAAGCATTCCATATTTTCCTGAAAGTTTAAAAACAATAATTATTATACATTATATTGCAATATGAGCAATATAAATTATAATATATTTGTGATAACGATATTTGTCATAATGATATTTGTCATAATGATATTGTAATAATGATATTTGATAATGATAATGATATTTGATAATAATAATGATATGTGATAATGATATTTGTGATAATGTATTTGTGACAATGTAAATGATAATGATAATATATTTCGTCTAAAATATATTTTACTTAATTATTGTCATCTACTATAACGGTCACTCATCAGATTGTGAACATATCTGTTTCAGTGGTTTTAAGGTTCAGTGAATCCAGTAAGAGTAGTTGTACGAGTACTTTACCAGAAACAATCAGTACTTTACTAAAGAATCCAAAATTTATTTTATAAAGCCATAGTGACTCAAGGGATAGAGCGTTCGCTTTCGAAATAGTTGACCCTGGATAGAGTCCCCTTGTCGTCATGGTTAGAGTAACCTAGCCGTCAGGCTAACCTTGGGAGGTTTTAGCAGTTTTCCTATCCATGCAACGCAAATACTGGTTAGTTCCAACAAAAGGTCCTCCACGAAGGCAAAAATTCCCTCCAATACTTGATCTAGGAGTTCCCTTATCTTCTGGAATATGTTTAAAGCTACGAGGCAAAGGAGTTGAACATTAGTAGTCATCAACGACGGTTATAAAATAAAACAAAATTTATTTTATAGACCCTACAAAGAATAAACGTTAGATTAAACCCTTACTAAATGGGCATTTTCGTAACAGTAGCAGATGAAAGATAGCGCACTGGAGTTTAGCTAAATGTTATTTTTTTTATTAACTTTATGATTAAAAATATCAGTTTATTACACCACATAAATTTAAGTACAAACATTAAATTTATAATTTAAAATCTATAGTATATCAAAAATATAAATGAAAAACAAACTTAGAGTCATTTAACAGTTCATCAGCAAGTTAATGTGTCTACAACTTATTTACTGCAATTTTGTTTTAAGTACAAATTTTGAGTTAAAATATTAAAAAAAAATGCATCCAAACTTAGTCATTGGTGACTCTAACTCTAAACTTTCTACTTGGGCAGTGTCGATCTTTCATGACTAATGTAAAATATGACATAATTTTTTTTAAAAGTTTTGTTTTAAGTAATTAGTGAAATTTTAAATAAACATTACTTATTTTCTTAATTACAAATCAAATTTTGATTTGTTATAGTCTGTTAGTAGTGCACTTCGCATTACTATCCCACAATACGAGTGCTATTAAGCAGCGCGCGTGACCAGAATGGGATATCCTTTAAAATACGCGTTGCTTTCAAGGCGGTAGTTTGAACGCGTTAGCGCAAAGGCGTAAATTCGGCACTCAGAGCACTAATTTGACTATTAAAAACGAGAGTATTTGCTTTAATAAAACTTAATTGTGTTATTTAGGTTGTAAAGGAATAAATATAACAAATTGGAAAAACATTTTTTTATTGGAATGGGATTGCGCTGAAATGTTTTGTAAAGAAAAGAACTTGTACAGAAACAAGAATTATTTTGTGATTTTTTTTTCACTTGTTCCTGTAAAATTGGTATTTCTTGGGAACTATTTAATGAATATTGCTTCACAAATGTGTTAGTAAGCTCCTAATAAAATCAACAATAGAATATTGATTTAAAACTATACTAAGGTAAACAGTAATTTTTTTTAAAACTCATCTCTTTTCAAGTAGAAAAAGAAATCATAAAATAATAAAAATTAAAGTCAAATTTGTACTTTTAGCAAGATTTAGATGCAAAAAATATTATACTTTTTTAAATACTTTCTATCCAGGATACAATAGTGTGAGGAATATATTAATACAATAGTGTGAGGAGCAATCAAAAAGATTTTTTGAGTGCTCCTCACACTATTGTATTAATATATTTTGCTTTGGCTTTATTGATACAATATCAGAAAGCACTCTCTTTTGCTGATATAATCGTGTGAGCTGAAGAAAAGATTATATCTTTTTCTTTCTTTTTTTTCCCGGTTTTTTTAATGAAATTGAATTATTTTTTCTTTTTTTTTAATATATTTATTTGATCTATTGTTTGTTATTTTTTTACTTATTGTTCCCCCCCCCCTTTCTTTTTATATGTCTATAATTTTTCTTTGTTTTATTCTTCATTTTGAACTTATCTAATGAGTTCTGTTTACTTGCAGCTTAAGCGCAATAAATGAAACTCATTGTTTTTCTTAACTTTCTTCGTGTTTTCTTGTATTTATTTATGTATTATATATATATATATNTATATTTATATATATATATATATATATATATATATATATATCATGTGTATCATGAGGAAAACGAAGAAATGGTTACATTAATCAGTACGCTCGTACATACATTAAATATTATAACTTTATAAAATAAAATATGTAATGCATTAAAAACATACCGCTTATTGTATTTAGTTTAATGATAAAGCCATCCATTCTTTCCCAGGAAGTTACTTTTACATAATCAGAAATATAGCTTGGAATGGGACAGTGTAAAACTGCCATGTTTCCTTGCAATACAAACTCGTCAAACAATTGCGTCTCGAATGACTGTGGAACAACTGAAAAATAAGTCAGAGTTCATGAAAGAGAAAGCAAAAAATATTACTATGAGGAAAATATTTGCTTGTTAAAATATTAGTCACATCTTTTAAAGTTACAGCTGCCACTTATAGCGACAAAATATTTGGCGACATCATATTTTTTAGTTGGATTTCATGGTGATTAAACCAGCAACTCCTAGACGAGATAAAGCCTCCGCACTGGATAACATAAGCGAGAAATCCAATCCCTTAGTAGCCGGGGCGTAGTGGAACTTTTTTTATAACCTCAATGCGCAGTTTATGTTTGTTATGTCAGACTACTTAATTAATCCATACAGAAGCCTTATTCCTTCTAGGAGTTGATTTAACAATAGTGTCCTTCCATTGATAGTAAAAATTATGTATTTCAGAAAAAAAAATTAAGAAAAATAAAAGTATTTTTAAGCAATTCAGTTTCTATAAGTCTTGTTTGACCACATATATCAAAATATCCAGCTGCGTTGAAATCTGCAATTTTGCTGAAACTTAGCTTTTCACCACCTATGTTTGAACTTTAGTTCATTTACTTTCAAAAACCAGTTAAAATTTTGATCTCCGATTTTAAGAGATAATGTTACAGTTGTGTTTCGTTTGCTGACAATCGAAACTTCTACCAGAATTAAACTCCTGAAAGGGAATCTAAAATGCTTTTTTTTTAATGTTTTTTTTGTTGTTTTAAGTATTTTAACCCTTATTTGTTTGGTTTAACTATATTCTTAAGACTCATGGAATTCTTTTTCAGATATTAATTTTCAAATTATTAAATTTCGTTGTCAGACCTTTCCAACATTTCAGATTCTTCCTGCATTTTAAATACATTTCCTGAAGAAAGCTGATTTTGCTAAAATTTCTACATGCTACCACGTATTGTGAAAAAAAGTTTATTACAGAATTCTTTAAAAATGCGTATGCAAATTTTATTTAATATTAGCGATGCTTTGAAATAAAAGCTACGACCTACGCGCGAGTCTGTTATTTTTATTAAGCTTACAATGAGAATATTTATAATTTTTCTTTAAAAATTCAACATTAAACAATGCATTTGGCTCTATTTCTTTGTTTTTTTAATTCGTTTAAGATTTAAAATTAAACACGGTGAGTCATATTATTGATCTAGGAAAAATATATATTTCAAGATTTATGCAATAAAATTTGTTGTAAAGCTGTTATCTTGGCATGAAAACTTCGCAGCTTTCAAGCTCACATTAACTGTTATTTTTTAAAAAAATTGTATAACTTTTTAAACTTTGCATTAAATTTGTGATTTCCGGCTCTTGCATACCAAATATGAAATTAAAATTTTAATTTAACGTCTTTTTTTAATGTGTGATCAATCCTAAGAAAATAGTACCTTAAATTTATGAAGGAATTATTAATGACTTTTCTGTTTAACGTAATTTAACGTCATTTTTTAATGTGTGATCAATACTAAGAAAATAGTACTTTAAATTTATGAAGGAATTATTAATGACTTTTCTGTTTATAGATTTTTATAGCCATAAAATTTATTACCTGAATTGTTAACCTAAAGGCTACCTAAATTTATTTATTGGGTATGCAACGCAATTAAATGACATAATAAATGACTTAGTAGTATAAGAAGTACAGTTATCTTTTTTATTAGCCAAAAGCTTTCATATGTGGGAAAAAATACTATTTTTCTCACTTAGTATTCCATATATAAAGTATATAAAAATGTTTTCCACATCATAAAAAATTGACTTCGAAACTAGCAAAGAAAGCTACATCTGAAAAAACTTTCTGTATAAATTGGTGTTTGGTTGGCCACGTGCTGTTTTTAGGTTCAAACAATTGCAATTTATCATTGTTCCAAAAGAGTTAGTTGCATTGTGTGTTCTACCATACATGGAAAAAAAATTCGTCTTTCTAACGGGAATTGATGATCTATTCTATACCTTAACCTGTTGCGATAGCAAAAAGGATTATTGGCTTCTGGCCATCTATTGAATTCTTAATGTTTTATGCATTGTCTTATAGACGAACTCCAGACCAAGCTTTTTTGTTTAACATTCATAAAAATGTTCCTTATATTATCAAAAGCCTATTATCATAATATATAGTACTAGTTTTAAAATATATAGAAGTCTTAACACAGAAAGATAAAATAGTTTAAATTTTTCTGTAGCAAATTGTAATTTAAAATTACTGAATAAAAACAAAAAAATTTATAACTAATAATAGAGGTAACTGTGGAAAATTTTCTAGGAAAAGAATTAATTTTAAAAGAAAACAAGTTTATAGTTGTTTACTTATTCTTATTTATATCAAATAAGAGTTTACTTGCTTTTTTCTTAAGTCTAGTATAGACTTAAAAATAAGCAAAAAAATTTTAATTGCCGCAACGTCAAATTATATTTTGAATGCTAAGTTTTAAACTTTTGAGAATTACAAAATACAATAGATTATTATAGATATTAAACCCAGTAACGCTTTTATTTCTTGTATGCCGTAAAGCTAAAAAGCTTCTATTAATTTTTTTTTCAGTTTTTAACTAAATGAATATTTTCTTCTGTTAGCTATTACTTGATTTTTGAAAGAAAAAAAAATCATTTGTTCAATGTTAAAGCAGTTCTATTTCATATGAGAAGAATTCTTGCAGAATTCTAGCAATTCATGTGACATATATGTCAACATGGATTTTAGAATGCTTTATTAAAGGCGTTTTCCTTAGCTAATTTATTTCATGACTAACTTTTAGTCATTTTATTTGATATTTAAATCACAAGATATAGCTAGGGACTCGAGTTTTGAAACTCATACAAAATGAAAGAGAAGAGTTAAATCTAATCTCGGGACTAACATTTACCGACTAATGTGAGCTGGTATATTCTAAGTTTCCTTGGAATTGCTGTCAGTCTTTATCATACTTCCTACTAAGGTGGGCATGCCTGGAAGTTCCTCCAAAGTTGTTTAAGAAGAACATGAACGATTTAATACTTTACTACATTTTTTAAAACGTGTAGCACTTTAAACCTCTTTTTCAGTGAAAGTGCATAGGTAGGGTTCGGGAGCTTTGTTCTTATATGTGGTAAAATAAAGTTGCGTATGATAACATAGCTTTTAGTTTCACCTCCTACCAAATAAGAATTTTGAAATAAAACAACGTGAAAATCAGTAAATTTTCTTCACTTTAAGAACTTATTTAGAACTAGACTGAGTATAATGTAATTTTAAAATTTTTGGCATCATAAAACATCGTTTTGACATACGTGGAACGTTTTTTTTGCGCTTAAACTAATTAATTTGAACTATTTTCTCAATTTATTTTGCTTTTTAGTACAGCATTTATTTTACTTCAAGTAGTATTTTTAGCGTAATTAGTCAAGTGTCATTGTCGTCGATTCTAACATGATTAAATTTTACGTTTCCTTCTAAAAAAATGAGTACTATTCATTATTTTTATTTTGCCATTCAGTACATAACTTATTTATTTTTACTTCAAAAACAGTTAATGTTAAATTTAGTTTTATATAGTCACCTTTTTAAAGCATAACTATTAACAAAATAAAAGCGTTGTTTCAGATAACTTTAAAAATATGAATTAGGGGACATAGTGCCCTTACGTCACCATGTTCACATTAATCCCCGATTTCATCGAGCTTAACGAATAAAACTATTTCGATACTAAAGAACGAGCAAGCATTTTTTCAATTATGGGCACCCTACAATATAACTATCAATTTATCATAAATAACTAACCATTGTTATTGCATGCTTTACATGGGCAGGTTTTACACATAATTAATTCATATCTTTATACAGTATGATCTTTAGAAAAATACATAGAATTCATCATAAATTTTAAACTGCTACCAACTATTCCATCAAAATTAAGCTTACATAATTGCCTAATGGCCTAGTAGTACACACATCGCTTTTCCCTGTATTAATTTCGTAAAAAATAAGAAGAAGCTCATTTCTTTAGAGTAAAAAATCAGATTAGATATTTTCAAATTTTAAAATATCAGGAATAAAAGTATTTTCTTTGTTTGAAGATAAAATTCAACACCCATTGATGTTTTCTTACCTTCAGTCTCTGTTGAAATTCACATTTTGATTTAGAAAAACAGTATCGTTATGGTATATATATGGGTATCGTTAGAAACCGAATAACGCATTCTTAAGTTTGAAATTAAAAAAAAAAACTTCAACCTTAATATATAAAATTAGTTATATAGGATCAATGAAACAGATTTACAAAAATATGGTGGATTATGTAAGAAACTATTTAAATCTTTTTTCACAGTTTTTTTAATTAATAATAAAGAAATGTGCTGAAATGCATATTGTTGGATGAATCAATGTCAGCATGATCTTATCTGCATGATGACAACATGATAATATCTTCGGTCAACATGAGTAAAACAGATTTACTTTTGTGATACTCAAGAATAAATTAATCTCAGTAATCTATATTAAAATATGGTTTTTACTTATTATTTATATGTTACTAATTCCTAATTTTTAATGGTTTATGCACAGTTCTAGAATTTTAGGTTTTGTGTTTCAATTTGACTTAAATAAGCATTTTATGGGATTCTAAACAACTTTAATTCTATGTTCGACACAAAATACCATGTCTTTTTAAAGTTGAAACAATGGTTTTCAGTTACAATGACTCTTGTGACATCAATAAATCTGTAAGTTCAATTCGAAAAATCCAAGAACAGGGCATACTTTCTAATAAGCAATAAAGTTCGGTAATCCTATTCATTAATCATTCTTAAATTACTCTCTCGATACTTGAGTAGAAAAAACTTAGTAGAGGTACACTCCAGACATGCTTCGAAAATCAAAGAACTGCCTATCAGGGATATCGGAAAAAGCTTAGGGAACTGTTTTTTTTCCTAGTCCTCGTGATTGAGGTTTTTCTATGAATAACAGGCCGCAGTATTAGAATAAGAAACAATGCCTGAGTTTTAGCGTACATAGAATTAGACGATGTTATATTTTATCGTAGACTTTTAAAAATGCATAATATTTCAAAAACATTTAGTTAAAAGTAAATGCATAACATATAT